GGTGTTAATAACCCTTACGAATAATAAGAAGAAATTAATTATTTCCCCAAACCCTAGCCTTTTTCTCTCTGCCTTCTCTCGTCACCTTCCTCGCTGCGCAAAGGCGGCTTCCTTCTCTTTTTCTCCACTGATCCTGCGGAAGTCGGGTATCAATATATATATATATATGTGTGTGTGTGTGTGAAAGTCAGTTACACTCTAAGAGGGGGTGAATTAGAATGTTTAAAAGGTTTTTCGTAAAAACAAAAACTTAGGTGCAAAAATAATAGCAGAAATAGAGCAAGAAAAGTAAGAATATAAAAAGTACGACACAATCGATTTAATACAGGTTCGGCTATCAATACCGTCCCACACAGTACCGGTTCGGGTACCAGTTTTTGGTATCGGCACCGGCGGTACCGGTTCCGGTACCGACCGTTTGAATTTTTTCTTTTTCCTTTTGCTTCNGTTGGGGGGTTTTTATCTATATAAATAACCCTCCCTTTTTTTAAAAAATACCACACTCAATCTCAATTCTCAATTCTCAGATCTCAATCCCTTCATCTCTATTAATTTCTATTATCTCTCTTCAATCTTTAATTCTTTATACATTTTATATTCATATAATAATATAAAATTATAAATATATATTAATATATTATATAATATATGAATATATACCCATATAATATTAAATTTTTAGTCATACATTTATATGTTACTAATATATTATATTGTTATAAATTAATATTATAATTTTGAAATTTAATATATAATTAATATTTTAAATATTTAACATAGTCCTTTTTTATCAAAATAAAAATTTATTAAAAGGTTGAAAGTTTTTGGAACTTGTAAATATTGTTGCATCGTCATAAAAATGGGAATTTCCGGCGGTTATGGTGGTCCGGAATAACACATAAGGGCGAGGCATCTTGTGGAGTACGCCAAATACACGGCGAAAAAGAAGGGACGATAAGAAGTGCAAACCCAAATTTCTCGGTTTGCTAACAGGGGTAAGGGTGGCCTTTTTACTTATAGCGACGAGCAAAATAAGTGTTAAAGAGTATCCCACATCGGAACTTGAAGAGAAAATAAACCGGTATATAAGCCCTTGAGTTGAACTAACTAATCGATTGGATTCAATCTTTTAATGTGGTTCAACCCAAGTGTCTTATTGCCCAATCCAATTGTCCATACCCCATCCTAAATTCTATCATGGTATCGGAGCAGGTTTTAGCCCACCTCGTTTGTTAAGGTGTCCGTCTAGATGTTCATTCCTAGCGGCCCATTAGTCTTTAGCCCAGTTGTCCGTATGGAGTATGTCCAACGACCTGTGGCCCATTTAACACGATTGCTCGTCTGGAAGTCCATACCCAGCGGCTTGTGGTCATTTAGGTGTTGGCGCTAAAAAAATCAAGGGGATGGGAGTCCATTTGCAAGTGGTCAACCGGTTAGATTCAAAATGGCCCGGTTGTCCACTTGAGGGGGAGTGTTAAAGAGTATCCCACATCGGAACTTGAAGAGAAAATAAACCGGTATATAAGCCCTTGAGTTGAACTAACTAATCGATTGGATTCAATCTTTTAATGTGGTTCAACCCAAGTGTCTTATTGCCCAATCCAATTGTCCATACCCCATCCTAAATTCTATCAATAAGCAAAAAATGGCCGAAATGATTTGTAAATAAAACTTGCCATACATGTTTTCTGAAAAACCTTGGATTTATTGATTATTTTCAAAATTCATTAAACCCTCAAGCAAGAGGTTTTTCAAAAATAACAATTAAGAGAGAAATTATTAGACAATATAAAGTTGAAAAAATGAATTTGGCAAATTTTTTTCTCAATTTTAATTCTCGTATTACTATTTGTTCTAATATTTGAACTGAAACATATCATAATTTGTCTTATATGGGCGTTACTTGTCATTGGATAGATAGTGATTGGATTATGCATAAACGTGTTCTTGCATTTCATGATTTCAATGAATTCTCATACCGCTGAAAATATTTTCCTATTGCTTGAGCGTATTCTGCAAGAATACAATTTAGTTAATAAAGTGTTTGTATTTGGTTTGATAATGCTACTAATAATACTGCTGATATTCTTAGACTTAAAGAAATTTGCCCCCTACTACGGGTATGGGTAGATTTCAGTATCAAAGGTGTGCTTGTCATGTTTTAAATTTATGTATTCAACATATATTAGAAGCTATAGGGGGTTTTGACAAATATTAGAAATAGAATTAAAAAGATTTGTGGTAGTTGTATTCATACGAAAGCCTGGAAGTTATAATGTAAATCTAGGGATACAAGACCAATAACATTTGCTAAAGATATCACCATTAGATGGAATGGTAGATACAAGTTGATAGCATAGATTTTAAGCTACAAAGAGAAACTTGCTGCATTTCTTATGAATGAACTTCATTTTATGATTTCATTGAATGAATTTATTATTGTTGAAAAATTAAATGTTGTATTAGAAGTTTTTAATAACGCAACTCTTATTTTCTCGCATGTTTACCAACAAACTACAAATAGATTTTTTAAAGAGTGCGTTACAATTCCAACATGTTTTCGTGATAGTTTAGCTGATCCAGACTTGTACCCATATGTCTCTCCTATGAGGAATAAATGTTGTGCTTATTATTTGTACATTCATCATATTTATAAAATTTGTATTATTTGTGATCCTCGCTTTAAGATTGAAAATTTTCAAATTGTGATTGAGTAATACTATACTTATTTTTTAGATGAAAATAATTATTACTACAAGCATTTAATAGAATAGACAAAAGAAAGAGATAATGCTATTAATTTTTTGAGGCTTTATTTAAAGAATTTTAAGGAATATACGGCAATGCACCGGAAGAAACAACACCTCCTCTGCAATAGACAAAAGGTTTTAAAGGAATAGTCGGTGTGCTTTTGACAAAAAAGGTAAGCATGGTCAGCCTTCGACGAGTTCAGGTGGTACAACTGTAAGGTCGCACAACGAACTTGGTATGTACCAAGGGGTGCCATGCAATTACGACGACGACAACGACGTGGATTTTGACGTCCTCGCATGGTGGAAGCGGAACGAACACATGTTCCCATGTCTCGGAATGCTAGCCAGACAAGTTTTATCCGTCCAGGTATCAACCGTAGCTGTGGAACAAGAATTTAGTTTTAGCGGCTACATTCTAACCGATTACCGAAGTTGTCTTAGCGCTGAATCTCTTGAAACACTTTTTTGCAACCGAGATTGGCTCTTGGCAAGACGTCGAGCTCAAGAGTGAGGGCACGAATTCAATTCTGAACATTACATGAATACAACCACAGATGGAAGCCCTGGTTCCGGGAAATAAATTATAAAGTTTTTATTATGTTAATTGCAACATGTTTTCGTGAAAGTTTACTTGATCGAGACTTCTACCCATATGTCTCTCCTATGAGGGATAAATGGCGTGCTTATTATTTGTACATTCTTGATATTTATAAAATTGGTATTATTTGTGATCCTCGCTTTAAGATTGAAAATTTTCAAATTCTAATTGATTATTAATACATTTGTTTTTTTAGATGAAAACAATTATTATTACAACGATTTAATAGAATGGACAAAAGAAAGAGATAATGCTATTAATTTTTTGAGGCTTTATGTAAACAATTTCAAGGAATATACGGCAATGCACCGGAAGAAACAGCACCTCCTCTGCCCCCAAAGCAAAAAAAGGTTTTAAAGGAATAGTCGGTGGGCTTTAGGAAAAAAAGGTAAGCGTGGTCAGTCTTCGACGAGTTCAGGTGGTATAACTGTAAGGTCGCACAACGAACTTGGTATGTACCAAGGGGTGCCATGCAATTACAACGACGACGACGACGTGGACTTTGACGTCCTCGCATGGTGGAAGCGGACCGAACACATGTTCCCATGTCTCGGAATGCTAGCCAGATAAATTTTATCCGTCCTGGTATCAAACGTCATTGTGGAATAAGAATTCAGTTCTAGCGCAACATTCTAACCGACTTTCGAAGTTGTCTTAGCGCTGAATCTCTTGAAACACTTGTTTGCAACCGAGATTGGCTCTTGGAAAGATGTCGAGCTCAAGAGTCAGGGTACGAATTCAATTCTGAACATTACATGAATGCAACTACAGATGGAAGCCCTAGTTCCAAGGAATAAGTTATAAACTTTTTTTATGTTAATGTAATTAGTTTTTTAGGTGAGCGATATATAAGTTCCTTCGAGGGTTTCTTTATGGTTCTTTACCTCGTCGCTTTTTTTGAAACGTCAAGATATTGAATGTAGTTGTTCGTGTATTACACATTTTTTGATATTTAAATAACAACTACATTTTTAGATCTTTTATTTCATTATTTCGTTTAACAACTACACATTTACACTTTTAAAACTTAAAAAAAAGGAGATTGCTTGTGTTATTTCCTTTCCTGGCGAAGAATTGGTGATGAAAAAATTACTTGTTTTAGGGGAAGAAGCAATCAACGAAGAAGTCGACACTTTCCTTTCGGTGATCTGAGCGATGAAGTCTACAAAATAAGCTATAGAAGCATGTAACGACACGTGTCAAAGAATCTCACCTTTTAAAAGTGTCACATGTCAAATTTCTAGAACTCAAGCTCTCAAACTTTTAGATAAAAGATAAAAGATTAATATAAAACATGAAATTTAAAATGATTTGGATCAAAATCATTTTTCAAAACTAAAATTTTTTTCACGAGGAAATATATAGGAATATATGGAACATTTTGGCTATATACTCCCTACTACATACGCCAAAGATAAAGCTATTTATATCCCAAAAATTTGTATCCCATTTTGTACATCGCAGAGATGCACTAACATTTTGTGTTGGTGTAATGCTAATTTTTGTTAACCCACCAACACTTTATATCAGTGTAAATTTTTGTGAAGGCACCAATACTGTGTGTCAGTGTAAACACTCAAAATATTAGCTTTTGATATACAAATGAATTACGGAGTATAAATTTTGGGGGTACATATAGCATATGCTCCTGTGCCACAATCTCTTCTTAAAAAATGAACAATTCGTCCATGACTCCATGGTACTCTGTAGTTGTATTTGTATCCACGCATTAAACACCCTTCCAAGTTCCAGGTTCCATCCCCGCTATAGCCTCCATTGAAAAGCTTCTTAATTTTGTATTTTCGGGTCGATTTCCAGTTCAATAATATCTGGCCGGCAGTAGTGAGGACTTCCCTCTTGGAAGTTTGTCGTTCTCATGGATTTGGCCTCCGGTTTGGTCGATGCACTAACGGGGATGATGCTATTCATGGTCCCTATTATCATTGGATTGCTGGTGGGTTGGTCATGGAAGCCCAATTGGGCTAATCTCAGTGCTCTTGAAGATATCTTGCCATTCCGGATGACCTTACCTAGAAATTCAACTTGTCCAGATTCGATTCCAAATTTAACTTTGATGAAATCGCAATCTCCCAGCTGGGATTTGAATGCTGAGATGGAAGCTCCAGCTCCGGTTCCTCAGCCATGGTTGGTTGAATTTGTTCTTTACTTTTATAGGCTGTAGCAGTAATTGATTTTGTTTTAATTGTGCCCAATTTTCCAGTTCGTCCCAGCCTAAAGGTGAAAAATCAGCTCTTGTAGATGATGATGACCTTCATCAGTTATACCAGTTACTGGAAGAAAAAGATGGAGGCCCTGCTTGGATTCACATGATGGATAGGTCAACCCCAAACATGAGTTATCAAGCTTGGCGCAGAGACCTTCCGGTAACACCGATTTCTTCAAGAACTAGGTTTTGGAATATACATTATGGCATTCAAGAGCTAGTTTTGTGCTAGGTTTCCCGCATACATATTTTTGCACTCAAGAGCTAGGTTTCATGCTACCATGGCCACCACAATCTAACTTCTGTTACTAAATCGGTTCACTTCATAATAATGTAACAAAGCAGACTGGACTCCCACAGTATCGAAGTAGAAGTGTGTATGAGGATGCCACTCCAGAAATGGTAAGGAATTTCTTTTGGGACGATAATTTTAGGTCAAAGTGGGATGATATGCTCATACATGCCGAAACCTTGGAGCAGTGTCCGACTACGGGAACTATGATAGTTCGGTGGGTGCGCAAGGTATGTTACACTCTGATTTTCTTTGTTCTTAAGTAGTGATTGAAGTGGCTTTTGTTAATACTTTCTTTTCCGTTTGTTTTTTGTTGCTGCGCAGTTTCCATTCTTTTGTAGTGATAGAGAATACATCATCGGACGCCGGATTTGGAAGGCTGGACAAACCTATTATTGTGTTACTAAGGTAAACGGCTCAATATTGAGGCGTGATGCAAGTAACCCTTCTATCCCTAAGCGACCTTCTCATTTGAAAATGAAACGGATTTTGCGAGTATCAAGTGTTATTTTGTGAAAATAACTATTTGATAAGACGTAGGTAGAATTTATGTGGGTAACTAAGGGGTGAAAGTGTCTTTGGAGTAGTTACAATAACTTACATGAATCCAAAAATGGTAATGGGAATATGATTTTGGGGCCAGAGGGAGTAGAATAGATTGCATGCAAATACTACTTTAGTGTTAACATTTAGTTTTATTATTTTGTTAGCCTCTTTAATTTGTTTAGATATAATTTAGTTGTAGCATTTATATGGGTAGCTAAGGGCTGAAAGTGTCTTTGGAGTAGTTATATGATTCCAAAAAAAATAGTGGGAATATGATCTTGGCCGGGAGGGGCTAGGGAGTACAATATTTTGCAATCTGCATGGAATTAGTACTATAGTGTTTAGATATTATATTCATATTATTTTGGCCTCTTTTATTTGTTTCTTAATGTGTTTTATAGAAATAGATTATTGTGTCATGACTTGGACATTCTTGGTCATGAAAGGAGAAGATACCCCATTAGTATATTGTAGAGGTGTAATGTCTCTCTCTCTCTCTCTATGTGTATCCCCTGGTCTCGCACTCTCTCGCCAATGGAGCATTGTAAGCCCCCCAAATAGGCCGACATCATATTTAGACCGCCAAACATTGTGTGAAAAGACCCGGACCTTTAGATTTTTACTTTCGCCATACTGCCATGTTGATAGTATCCATATCTTCCATAATACTTCGTACTACATATGATAGCTTGAAGATTTCTTATATTTCAGGGTGTACCAAGTTCGTCTGTGCCACGAGTTAATAAACCTAGGCGTGTTGATGTATATTATTCAAGTTGGTGCATTCGTCCAGGTAGGCTTTGAGACATTCAATCTTTTTCAGCATATGTGTCTATGCTTTTATATTTTACAGTTGCTTTAACTTGAAACCCACCCAATACAAAAAGGTGTTTGTTATCCGAAAGTTAAAGTGGCATAATTGGAATTAGATATTTCTCATTGGTAATGTTTTCATTATACGGAGTATGTTGTTTTTTGTTGATGGAACTTAATTCCACATAATAATTATCTCAGTATCTCTCCTCTCAAGAATCACGGAACAAGAATAAATATCAAAGACTTGCTTATTCGTATGCCTTGGGGGAGTATTTCTAGCTTCCTAAGTAACCCTTGCTAGAGACGGCTCCAGCCCACTGGACGTGGCTCGTGGCCTGGCAGGTCTACCTGCCTATAAAGCTCACAGGCCACCCACGAGTCTGGGCCCAATCCGCTTAGGCTATGACCGTGACATGCATATTGGGCTAATAACATGTATATTTATCTCTTGGCCCAATGTACCCATCATATGTATTCTATTTATTCGGAAACAGCAACTAAAAACTGTGTTTTATTGCATTGTTATTTTTTCGGTTTCTGAAAACAAACAGAATTTTGAAAATAATTAGAACTACGGATTTGTGTTCATTCATGCAGTGGAGTCAGAGTTGGATGGCCGGCTGAGTTCATGTGAGGTGATACTCTTCCATCATGAAGACATGGGCATACCTCGCGAAATTGCGAAACTTGGTGTCCGACAAGGCATGTGGGGGGCTGTTAAGAAGATAGACCCTGGCCTGCGTGCATATCAGGAACTGAGAGCTGAAGCCCTCAATCCCCTTCCTCCCTCCATGGCTCAAATTAACACCCAAATCAGCATTGAGAAGCTGATATCAGAGGAAGGGAAAACCAGTGTGGCAGAGGTCAGAAACCTGGATCCATCAAAGAACCCATCTGGGAGGAATATACCAAAAGTCCTCGTTCTTGGTGGAGTGATCGCTCTTGCTTGTAGTCTTGACCGTGGACTATTGACCAAAGCCGTAATATTCAGATTTGGTCAAAGATTTGCAGGGATTGGGAAGCGGTTTTGATCCCATGGGCTTGGTCTGTGTATTTATTACATGAACTTCTGCAGAAGATGGCCTGCAAGAATTAGAAGGGCATTTTTCAGGACGCGATCCAATATAGAATTGGAGTAAAGGCGCGGGCATTTTCCACGCGTTACTGATCAGGGTAACAAGGAGAGTGCATCCTAAATGGCATACTATCATTCTGGTGTATCTATCATGTTATAAGACTATACAAGAAATAAACTCGGGTATGATTTCTTTGTACTTATAAACATGTGTTACCATTTCATTTGTAATTGTAAGAAATAAGGAGAGAAACTTGTAAGGCTGGGGTATAAAAGAATAGAATGAAAGCTATACTTTTGTGCAATGCTTCCTTCAAAGGATTTTCCAGCTCTTCACCATTTCATCGGGGTCCAAACAGTTGTTTGGCCTTTTGCTTGCCTCATGTGCTCCTATGTAGTGTGCAAACTGTAAGTGCACTATCTTTTTATCCCGAGTCTTCTTTGATCTTCTCAGGGGGTGTATTCAATCACAATTTTGAAAGATTTCGATAGTTTGTTTAAAGTCTATGGATTATGTAAAATGAATGAATTATTTTAAGTCTATGCAGAGTTTAGAAGATTTTAATGTAGTTTATCAGCCAGAGGATTCTATCTAATTGACCATCCATATTTGCAAAAAGAGATTCCTGCAAAAATGAATTCGGATAGGCTTCCTTTCATTTCGAAAATCAAAACAGAAATTCACCAAAAAAAACTTCTTCATCCGCTTTCATCCCCATTTTAAAGCCCCAACATAAGTAAAAAAAGCCCCATCAACAAGTAAAGTACTAGTAATTTGGAGATATGTGAAGAGAGTCCCATCAACAAGCCTCAATTTGTAAAGTCCCAGTAACCCTACCTCTACTTGCACAATAGTACTCTGTAATTTACTAGTAAGCCCCATCGAGATGCAAAATTATACTTCGTAGCCATAAAGGAATGGAAATATCATTGTGTCATACGTGAAGAGAGATCTATGAATAGAAAAAGAGAGCAATTAAATTCTATGAAGAGTTGAAAAAAGGAACTGTTGAGGGTTGAAGGTTGAGCAATGGGAGAGCAGTGAAGAAGGTCGGCAATGAAACTGGGAGGAGTGGAGAAGGTTGAGCACTGGGAGAAGTGGAGGAGTCGGTGATGAAGCTGCTTGCACCTGCGGGAGAAGAAGACGGAGAGGATGAAGGAGAGTAGGTGAAAGACTTATCAAAATCTTTAGCTTTTGGGTGAGATTTGGGAATGGATTTATATTTATATTTTAGGGGGGTGTATTGAATATGGAGTCTGTAGGATTTTTTTTGGATTTTTAAAATCTGAGTGTATTCAATCTGGATTTTCAAAAGTCTTTAAAAATCTTGAGGTATTCAATAGTGATTTTCCAAAGTCTTTAAAAATATTAAAGTATTCAACTTAGATTTTCAAAAGTTTTTACAAATTTTGAAGGAGCAACATTACTGTTGCAGATCTGATTGGCATGGATCCTCCTCTGCTTTTCTGCTGCAGATCCGATTGGCGTGGAGAAATAGGAGCAACATTACTGTTGCAAAATCTGTATATTTTTCAAATCTATATAGATTCTACAAATTTTTCTAACTCTACGTGGATTCTACAAAAAATCAACCAAACTCTACATAGGTTCTACAAATTTTTCAAATCCACTAACTTTTTGAAATCTAAAAACATCCTATAAAATCCTAATTGAATACACCCCCCTTAGGCTTAAAAATCCAACAAAATCCATAATTTTAAAAATCTTTAGAAATCCATCAATTTTTGAATAACATCATATTTAAAAAGATTTTCAAAAATCTAAGATGAATACACCCGGATTTTAAATGACATTTTAAAATCTGAATTGAATACTTATAGATTTTCAAAATCCAAAAAAATCCATCAGAGTCATGGTTGAATACACCCTCCTCAATGTTCTTTATATCGGATTTTAGTATTGATCAGGTTGTATCGAGATTGGGTTCTTCTCTAACCTTCTTGTTTTTCTTTATATTGGATCTGTAACAACCCTTATTTGCATGGCCCATTTCACATGAGCCAACGGATCGAATTGCAAGTAGATTGGTATTTGTAATGCAATATTTTCAATAATTCAAATCATTTAATCTTAAACATTATTGTATAAAAACAAATCAATATTTAATGGAATGATAACTAAAATTGTACAGACGCTAAATGGTAAAAGAATAAAGTTCAACAACTTTGGGTTCTGCCGGAAAGCTAATTGGTCTTTTATAAGAAAGATGATTTTCTTCTTTAGTTCTTTATAATCAAATACTCCCTCCATTCCACAACACCCTTCTGATTTTGATTTTGGAGAAAAATAAGAAAAGTTTAATTTTGGTTGACTTTCTAATTTTGCTCCTGATGTAATGGGAAAAAGTAAGATGTGATAGTTTGGTTATTAGTAAAAAAGTATGATGTGATAGGTAGGGTATGAAAAAATAAGGATAAAAGTGATTTTTTTAATAGAAAGTGGAAGTGTTTTGAAGAAAACAAAAAAAAAACGAAAGAGGAAGGGTTTTGTGGAATGGAGAGAGTAATACACGGGTGATCCTTCTTTTATGGGTATCTTTCCACAAATAGTCTTTTTTATCTTTTATCATGTTGGTGTTAATTTGAGGGCTAAAAATGTAATTTCACAATGTTAATATATCTTTCTTGTCATATACAATCAAAGGCCGCACCTAATGCATCGTTTATGAATTACAGTCGCTTTCTACTACAATCATAGTCTAAAGATATGGTCTTCTGTTAGAATCATAGCCCACAATCATAGCTATTATTTTTGTGTTATTCGTCTAACCAATATCAAAATATGTCATTGGACATAAGGTTGATGTAAAATTATATTTTTAGCCTTGAAATTAAAACCAACATGACAGAAGATAAAAAAAGGACCATTTGTGAAAAGGCACTCATAAAAGAAGGATTACGGTAATATTCAATAATAGAGGAATAAATATGGAAACTCATCTATTATAAATGACCAATTATAGAATTTACACGTTTTAAACTGTACAAATAAAATATGGACAATCTCATACTACCTCCATTTCTGAGTATTTATCGAGTTTTGACTTTTTTTGGACAACCATTTTCAATCTTTGAGTTATAATTAAATAAAATATATATTGTATATTAATTAGATAAAACTAATGAAACCTTTTATATATCAATATTTAGTATCATTTTTATTTAATTTGATGGCATCGTTTACCAAATTTGACAAAAAATCAAAAGTGGACAAATACTCAGAATATTTGTCCCACTTGATTTTTTCAGTCAAAATTAGTAAACTTTGACCTCAAATTAAATAAAAATGATATTAGATATTGATAAAAAATAGTTTTATTACATTTATAATCATATCAAATATTTTCAAAATACTATAATATCTAATTAATATACAATATATATTTTATTTAATTATAGGTCAAAGGTTGAAAACAATTGATTAGAAAAAGACAAAAATAGACAAATATTTAGGGACGGATGTAGTACTATTTTTCATATTAAAATACATGGTTTTGAAAAGGATAAAATTCATATATGTTCCATAGTTACTGGTGACTTTCCATATTTAGTCTCCAATTCTAAGATATTACGTAAATGTTACTCATCTTTCAAAAATAATTCCGCTAATATATTTTAGGCCAAATATGACAAAGTACTTTTTCACAAATAGTGTGTGAAGAACCAATTATTGAATAGTTTGCAAAAATGAGAATCATTTATGAAAACCACCTATTTTTGAAATTTAGTTTTTTGAAAAACTCTTGAGTTACCAAATTGGTTAGGTTTGGTTGGGCTTGGATCAATTTGACACATTTTTAGTGGGTCATGTCGAGATTGATCATCTTTAGAATTGATCAATAAAACTTTTGTTTATAAACACCCAAATTTTTCACGTCAGATTTTAAGTAAATACAAGTCATGTCAATTTTTGTTAGATCCACTACAGAGATTAGTATTTAAAGATTGATAATACTAAAATACTTCATCCTTCCCACATAGATATTTTTAGACAATATACAAATGATCGAATTTAACTCACTTTATTTGTGTATTTTTACTACTCATTTCATAAGATAATATAATTTTGTCACGTTTTATTTTGTCAAACTTTTCATTAAACTTTCACTATATAATTTTATTTTAAAACTTTATACCTACATTAAAATAATTTGAACTAAAAATAGAGTCAGTCAATCTTCCTATTAAAGTCAGTACTTTCTTGGAATGTTAATCTTTTAAAAATACAATACTTTCTGTGTTAAATATATCTAAAGGATAGATAAAAATTCAAAACAAAATATTCTAATAGATTTAGTATATGTATTTTACGCCATAATGTTTTAGTATTTTCGCTATCAAGTTTATTATGTATGGTCCTTAATTATAAATGATTTTTTATATCTAGTCTCCAATTTTAAGATATTAGATTAATGATGTTCAATTTTTGAAAACTATTCAATAAGGCTAAAATCCACCATTGGTCCTTCAACTTTATCAGTTGTGCACGATTAGTCCTTCAAGTTTCAAAAATCCATAAATAGTCCTTCAACTTTATGAGTTCTGCACCATTAGTCCTTCAAGTTTTAAAAGTCCCCAAGTAGTCCTTCAGGTACACGTCAGCCTCCATATGAAGTTCTTTTGACAGCAAATATTAAAAGTTAAACGAAATACTAGTTTCATATAATACGAGTAAATTCCACTAGATACGACTACTCCGTATTATATGGAGCTAGTATTCCATTTAGCTTTTAACATTTACTGTCAAAAGGACCTCATCTGGAGGGCTTACGTGTACTTGAAGGACTATTTATGCACTTTTAAAACTTGAAGAACCAATCGTGCATACTTCATAAAGTTGAAGGACTATTTATGAACTTTTAAAACTTGAAAGACCAATCATGCACAATCGATAAAGTTGAAGGATCGATGGTGGAGTTTAGCCATTCAATAAATACGGAGTAATACTTTAGACCAAATGTGGAAAATATTCAATATATTATGAAGTAGTTTTAAAAATCGAAAAACATTTACGGAATATCTTGAAATTGAGAACTACAGAATAATTAATATGGAAACCATATGTTTACGGAAATTTACTCTTATGAAAAGAACTCTTAATTAGCAAGTTGGTAGTCAGGTTGAATTCGACTTATTTTTAGCGGATAATTTATAATTCCGTCATCTTCAAATTCAATCAATTAAACTTTTGTTGAAAGCTGTCCAATTTTTTCAGATGAAATTTCGAATAAAACAGGTGTGTGAATATATATTTTTTTAGGTCTAATTAGTACGGAGTATTGATTATTGAAAAGATAGATAATACTACCTCCGTCCCGCTATATTCATCCACTTTTAACTTTTGGAATTGTTCATCTAAGCACTTTGACTCATCAAACTCTCTCAATGTGTAAGCCTAAATATAGTCATATGTGAATTGTGATCTTGTTTGATTTGTCTTAACATATACTGGTTATTAATATATAATTTTTATAATTTTTTAATATACAAATTATAAGAGAAAATGGATTAAAGAAATGCATTGGATGATGTGCAAAAATGAAAGTGGACAAATACTCTGAAAATAATAATGAATCGAATCTAGCAAAAAAAATGCTTTCTTGGAATGTTAATCTTTGAATTCATCAAAGGTAACTTGGGATTTGTTTTTGCATAAATTAACCCATGCAAATCGTCAAAAGTCTCAAACCACGCCAACTTTAAGGCAATAGTCCTCTCATAATGCAGTTTTGAATTTTGAATACCCCGTCTCTCTCACTTTATCCCTCCGCACCTTTGATTATTAATCATCATAACTAACACCGCCGTGTCCCCGCCGGCCTCCACCAGCAACCCACCGCCGTTAATGGAACCAAAAAACCCACTCTGTTTTGCACTTGCTCTGTTTTTCTCAGGTTTATCCTCTTTTCTCTCTCCCTTTCTATACTCTCACTTCCCCTTATTTTATACAATAGTATGAATATTGATTCAATTCATTACAGCAATAATCTTTTGGCCGGCGGGGAGAGTGACTTCCTTCGGCATCAACTACGGCCGGATCGGAAACAACCTTCCGGCGCCGGAAACTGCCGTCCGGCTAGTGAAATGCACCGGAGCAACAAAGGTCAAGCTCTACGACGCCGATCCCAATGTGCTCAGAGCCTTCGCCAACACCGGCGTGGAGCTGATCATCAGCGTCGGAAACGAGCGCCTGCCGGAGATGAAGGACTGCGACAAAGCCCAGGACTGGGTGGACCAGAGCGTGCGCCCGTTTCTACCGGCGACCAAAATAACGGCCGTCATAGTCGGAAACGAAGTCCTGAGCTCGAGCGCCGCCGCCGCTCCCCGCCACCAAGACCTCCTTCCGGCAATGCAAAACGTTTACTACGCTCTCCAGACGCGGAACCTCAGCAGTCAGATCCGCGTCACCACCGCCCACTCCCTCGCCGTGCTTGAGACCTCCTATCCCCCTTCTTCTGGGGTTTTCCGGAAGAATTTGACCCAGGATTTCTTGTGCGAAATCCTGGGGTTCTTGAATTCTACCGGATCCCCTTTCTACATCAATGCCTACCCCTATTTCGCCGCCAAGGCGGACCCCGAGCACGTGAAGCTCGACTACGCGCTCTCCAACCCGAACTCCGGGGTAACTGACGACCACACGCATTTGCATTACGACAACCTGTTGTACGCCCAGATCGACGCCGTTTACGCGGCGTCGGCCCAGCTGGGGTACGGAAGTGTGTGCGTGGAGGTCTCGGAGACGGGGTGGCCGTCGAAGGGCGACTCCGACGAGACCTCCGCCACACAGCAGAACGCAAGGGCGTACAATGGGAACCTTTTGAGTCTCTTGGCCGAGAAAAAACGAACCCCTTTGACTCCGGCGAATTGTGGGATGGATGCTTTCCTGTTTGCGCTGTTCAATGAGAACATGAAGCCGGGGCCGACGTCGGAGCGGAACTATGGGCTCTTCAACGCCGACGGGTCGCCGTCGTATGACCTTGGATTTGCCGCCTGCGGCATGAACGCTGGGAATGACTCCGGCAGTTGCCGACCGGTCGGAGGCGTTATGCCGCAGCCGCCGGCGACTAATCAGACCGCCTGGAGTCCGTGGAACAGCTATATGTCGATTACTTCCGACGCCGTTCAGGTGAGAATTTTTTACTGCTCTTTCATTCCCACTTAACCCCCCAGGCCCCATCCCCCCTCTTTCTTTTTTCATCATTCCACCTTTTGTGCCATTCCATTCTATCATTTTTTGGATATGAAAAGGGTATTTTCAATTTTAAAAAAATTGAAAGGATAAAGACTTGTGCCAACTTCTTAAGTTTTCTTCACATGACCCACTTACCAAGTTTAATTGCTTATGTGAGTTTTACTATGGATTATGTTATGGTATTTGTATTGTGCTTTGTTGTTCCATTCATAGACTTGACCATGGGTTTGGGTATCTAGCCGGTCTCTAAAATTTACCTACAAAATAATTAACAGACTTGAACTTTGGTGTTTTCGCCGGCACATGCCCGAGACTATAGTGAGGTGCATATGAATATTTTTAAGAACGAAAAAGAAAACAATGTAAACTTTTTTTTTGAGATGGATGCATAAGAAAAATTGAGTTTAATTTGAAAACAAAAGGTGTACGAATTAAAATTTGAGAAATTTACCTAAATAGGTCTAAAACATAATGACTTTCCCACTATAGGACCATATGTTTTTATTTCCTAATGTAGGACCTTTGATCATTATCAATTAGTCATTATTCAAATAAATGTTCATCATTACTGGACATTACTCCTCCCACTAGACATTATTAAGTCATATTGAGGGCATAAAATAATTGAAGTACTACATTGAAAATGACTTATGTTTTAATCCTATTTAATACAAATTTCACTTAAAATTTTGGCCTAAAAACGTGGATGTTTTGATAAATGTTATGATTGATTTCAGGTGAGACCTCCACGATTATGCAGCAAATGGATGTGTTCTATTATAGCCTTGGGCTTCCTATGCACACTTCATTATGGTAGAAAAATTCCTGCATTATAGTTAGTTATTTGGCTGGGTTGGGGTTGGTATTTCTTTCAAGAAATGAGAGAAAAAAAAGGAAAATGCTAGGGGTACACCAAAAGTATACCCCAAACATCTCCCACCCCCTCTATCATCACACAAAAAAGGCAAGAAATGAGAGAAAAAAAATGTACCGAGATTTAGCGTAGTACTCTATGTAAGAAGAGCAAGTACATTTCAATTCATCATTTCACAAATAAATGCATAACTCCTACCTTCACTTTTCCTTTGCTATTGTTGGTAATTTGTTAGGACATTATTCTTTATCAACTTTTTATTCCTCCATTTTAACAGCTATTGATCTATTCTGTACCATAAATTAATTACATATGCATGCTCTTTCTATGCCCACTATTTTAAGGACATAAAAGAGTCATACCATGACTTTTTGAATATGGGGAAATCTATATTGTAGGGAAAGTGAGTCGATGTACGCGACCTGACACCTATATTTAAAATATAGAGAAACTATTTTCAGGCGACCATGCTGAATGTCGAAAGTTACATCGACCAACTGCTACTTCATTATTGAAAGAAGAGTAAAAGAAACACAACCAGTTTAAAGAGTCATTTTGCTTTACTCCATATTCTAAAGCTAAAAAACAATGAATCTTTGGCTCCATTGGCGATAATGGGGACATAGTTTTTACTGTAATTATTAATTATTCGTATAAAGTATTCACATGCCTCACACAAGTTTTACACGTATATGGAGTATGTTCGAAGATAAAACTATTACCACAGAGTACAGACTTGTATGAGAAATACCAAAGTTTGTAACTCTATAAAACACATTGAGTATGAGGTATCACCAACCCTGGTTATTCCTTTTTATTTTGTTCTTTAGAACATATTCCTTATTATGAAACAAGATGAGGTTAGAAATGAAGAAGACATCTCAATGACTTGCCTTGGAGGAGGAGGTCGAAGGCTTCATTGATGCGGGAAAAATGCATTTCATGACTTATAAACTCGTCCAACTTCACAATCCCTCCTTGCATACAATACTGTTTCACAAAGTGAGGGAGTTGTGATTTCCCTTTGAAGTCCCCGAAGACGGATGCCACAATTCTCCGCCCGTCAAACAACTCCATCGGGTGTAGCGGGAGCAACCTCGGACTAGGATGGACCCCCAAAATCACCGTCAATCCCCAACCCTGCGCACAATATATATGCCAAATTTACTTATTAGAGCTAGCTAGATTCTCAATTTATTGTGACAAATATAGTACTCCGTAATTAATTATAATCTTGGCCCAATGACACCCATGTTGGGAACAACAATGGTGAAAACGCAAATTTTAGAAAAAAATCAGCTTGAAAACAACAGAGGGTTAACCAAGAACAACCACTGATATGAAGTGTTTGAAATCCTTGATAAAAAACTAAATTTTGTGTGACAAAACTACTTATATATGGTTTAAGATTCTAATCAGCAAAGAACAATAATAATGCTTGAAAAAAGTGACTTGTGCAATCTAAAATGTTTAAAACGTCGAAGAAACACAACACAATACCCCAACTCGATCTTCCACAAAGTAATACACTGTAGTAAGGAATTAATAAACGACAGATTTAAAAGTCGGCTGTAATTTAAAATGGTGATCGAAACTATATGGCTTATTTTATTAATAATATTCATTATCTGGTAATATTTATTTTCTGAATGTTTAATATGAAATCTCAAATTCGATCAAAACGGTTGAATGTGCAAATTGACACGAAGACAAAAGTTTTCATGAATCAATGATAATAGTTTTTTTAAGGGAATGATAATAATTAAATTGATAGAAAATTTTGGATTCACCGAAAATCCTAAATCCAGTTTAACATTACCAGAAATAATTCAAAACTGATAACACAAAAGAAATGGAGTCTAAATGTCATGTATCAATGCCAATTTTTCAAAAGAAATGAAAACATAAGTTCATGTTTAGAAAGGGCAAATAGCACTTACGTCGTGAGTTGACAAAAATGCCTCCCTGAGGACGTCCGCATTTCCAGCACACTCAAAGCTATAATGGACGCCTCCATCTGTCATTTCCCTAATTTTCTACACCAATTGGATAGAATATTTGTCATTAAGCAACAATATTACTCCCGAGTAATTAAATGGCCCCATTTACAAATATAAAAAAAGGCTAGGCATCAATCTAGAACATGTAAGCATCTTATTCGTCTCTAAAGACTCTTTTAATGTGACTTAAATGAAATAGTACTAGACAAATATTACCTGGTGAACGGGTATATCAATTTCCTTCGGGTTTATAAAGTCTGTGATTCCAATAGCTTCACCTATAGAAACACAAGTCACAACATTATTGGCATTCCATTCAAGATATAGATTATATGTGATTTTAATGATCTATTCTTTTCAACTTATTCTTATTACTAATTACATATTTCTTACTACTAATTACATATTGTTATTGGAATCAGACAATATCATATTAGACCAGATCAGAAACTATTTTAAAATTAACTAAAATAAGATTATTGGAACCAGACAATATCAGATTAGACCATATCAAAAACAATTTTAAATTTAACTAAACTAAGATTAAGATCAGACAGATCAGACATCAGTAACTTCTTGCACTTACTCTTATTTGTCACTCTCATTTCTCTATTTTCACTTTGTATTCATAACAACAATGTGTTTATTCCTATTTATCCATAACTTTTATTGTGTGTTTATTCCTATTTATCCATAAGTTTTATTTCAATCGATTACCAAAATAAGGATGCTTTATGAAAAACCTAAAGAATTAGAACGACAATAAGCATATGAGAGTGATAATAGCACCTTTTTGTAAAACAATGAGGAATCAAGCATTAAAAAAGTGAAATTTCCTCCATATATGATTAAAACATGAGTAACATATTTCCCAATTTAATACGTAGTACTTAATACTTTTAATTTTCTAAATAATTTTTAATTAATAAATTAGTTTGTTATACTCCATCAAAAGAGATGGAATTTTGCACATTGTTCAAAATGAGAAGGGTATTCTTGATATGGGTTAAAAAGCAATGACATTGAAAACTTTGGATATTGTTTGTAGAAATGAACATTGATGGGTATGTCGATTGACACTTAAATCTGTTAAAACAAATTTGATGGGTATGTTACATTTTGACGCAATATGCATTTCGCATATGCCTCGTAGTAGTATGATTAAACTTATAGATACTTAATCAAAGGCACATTTTTTGTGAGTCATTTAGAAATTAAGCATTAATGCTAGGTTCCATATAGTGACCTGACTATCCTTATGAGACAGAACTAAAGACTGGATGATGTTATAACACTGATCAGAAAAATAATTTATATAAAAATTTGGGGCAAATGGAGAAGAGTAATATTCAAGAGAGGATGTAAGATTACAATAATAGAACCTAAATAGCATCATGAGCATCACTATGGCTATCAATAGGCTATCATGTCATCTGTAAAGAGAGTGAATATCTAAACTTGGCAAAGTACCCCAACTGGCAATTCTGAAGTAAAAGTAAAACCACAATGCTTCTACTAATATATCATTCATGCTTAAGAGTAGTGAAAATGGTAGGCAAAAAAATTCAAGTATAAGGGGTGACTTACCAGAAACAAAATACGAAACAAACTGTTAAAAGCCACCACAACCCGACCATTATCACAAAAACAAATACTACGTGATATTGTTTTGAATCCACAATTTTATTGGATGATCAAAAAAAAATTTCTGCATAATTATCTTCTTCTATTGCAGAACCCTATTTTTCTATCCCATACATTTCTTATTACTCATTTGTTTCTTCTGCTTCTTCTTCACTATGCTATGAAGTATGAACATCTACCCCTCAAAATAGGGAGCTGCTTGTCTTGCTTCCTTCAATAGGATCTATATCATTTATCTTCCACTTTGAACCCTTTTTAGCTAGGCATCATTTCATTCAGCCTTGGCACTTATTTCCTTTATTTTCTGCGGAAGGAAAGCAATGAGAGACACCTACTGATCAATGATGTCTGCTGGTCGAAAGGCAGTTTGTCATGTCATTGTAGTGAGACTCTTTAAAATGCTTTTTATCAACCTGGAGCAAAGGCTCAACATGTTCCTCACTCTCATTCAAGATTGTTAAGTCAACAAGTCGAGTCGAGTCAGTGAAGAGGAGACTAGTGGACTAGTCGGCCTACTAGGCGTAGACTAGTCGACAAATCACAATTAGTATTAAAAAATTTTAACATTATATATTTCTTCATTGACCCAAGATAACTATATATATTTATACGACAAAATGCATTACCAAAACAATATTATTACCAAAACAAAATTATGAGCAAAAAAATGTCAATACCCTTAAAAAACTAAAATGAGCAAAAAAAAAAATATTAACTGAAAAAATCAGCAAAAAAAACAATCTGAAAAATTAAAAGTATAATATACTTTAGTACTTTACTGAACCAAATTCAAGAAACTGAAAAATTAAGAGGATAATGTACTTTACTGAATCAAATTAAAGAAAGCTAAACCAAATTAAGAGTAAAATATACTTTACTGATAAAAAATTAAAGATAAAGAGATCTTACCCATGGAGGATGACAGAGAGCGTGTGATTCCTTGAAGGAAGAATCAATGCCAGAATATCGATCTTGGAAGATGGCGATGAAAGAGACGTCGGGATTTGAGAAGGATTAAAGACTTAAAGTCGACTGTGATTGTGTGAGTGAACTGAGGGAGGCGATGTTTTATGGAGTATTTTCTAAAATGTAATGAAATTTGGAAAGGGGTGTGTTGGGTCAAATTGGGTAGGTTTCTGTCAGCGACTAGTCGTCGCTTTGCTCGCCTTGACGACTAGTCCACCCAAGTCGCTAGTCGAGATGCAAATCGTCACCTAAAAAACGACCGGACAACTAGTCGACGACTTGATAACAATGTTCTCATTTCTCTCTTTCTTGAAGCCCTGCGTAGACAAGATACCAACAATATGTAGAGAGAATGGCAGGCCATTCGAGTGATAAGACGCCACTCTCAGTAACACAACATAAAAGCCTTTGATGATTGAGGAGGGGACTTTGTGATTCTTAGAGCAAGGGAATCTAAGGTTATTGGCAAGGTCTTTCGACAGACTTTCTTCTCTAACAGAGGATGTCCCCTTGCTATTTGGGGATTCAAGGAGGTGAAGGAGTTCGTTGATGATGGTGGGAGAGAAATGGTATAATTGTCTTTTAAGATAGATCTTCTAGTGAAATTCATAAAAGAGGGTGTCAGGAGGAGTTAGATTGCCGTAAAGTTCATGGATAACTTTCTTAACAAAAGAGCTATACAGAATTACAGAGTCGGATTAAATTAACCCTAGCTCAGAGAGAGTTGGTACGTGAGTGGTCTTTGCTCAAAATCATTCAAATCTGTCTTTTGCCAAGGGATGATTGATTTTTTTGGATTGAATGGCAAGAAAGTGGTTACATGCTCAGTGTAGAAAGTAATAAAAAAACATCCCTGAAAAATTGTACATTTGGCCGAGGACTTATTCTTATTGGGGGCAGAGGACGTTGTCCCAGCATCTTTCATACGCAATTTTTTTCCTAGACCTTGTCAAGAATGACTGAGACTTTTTGAACTTTCTCTTCTTGTTGGACTTTGATTTCTAAATTTTGGGGGATTTCAAAAAAGGTACTTCAGGGATTTGAATTGTCTCTTCACAATTTTCAAATAAAGGATGAGTTCGAGATGGAGTGTGTTGGGAGTAGGGCTCCTCAGTTACTTAAGATCCTTCTTTGGGAGAGGAGTTTTTTGAACACCATTAGAAGAGTGTTCTTTCACGAAATCCCCTTGAAAAGAAATGAGGGTAGATCTTCAAAGATCCTCTCTTTGTCTTGAAGATGTCGTTTTGTGACCAAAATATCTTCTTGAACATCTTGTGTAGCATCCTCTTCGCGTCTCTTGCATAGGTGGAGATGGTGATGTCGTAGCAGCATTTAGGGGAACGTATTCCAAATATATAAAACTGTTGGTTCCTTTTGAGCATGAACTTCTGCAAACTCGTCAAAATATCCCCATGTCCTTCCTATCATGGCCTTGGACATTTGAAGGCTCCCTTAAGTTGTAGTCTTCCAAGACCGTGACAGGACATGGGGCTATTTTGACGCAACATTCCAATAAATCTTCACTGTTCATGTTTAGATTTTTAAGAGTTGGGATTGTTTTCCTTTTTTGGCCCCTCCCCCTGCCACAATTATAGTTCCCTCTGATGCACACTTTTTTTGCCAACGAGAACAGTGAGAATTTTATATGGAGGATGAAAATTGCAAGGGTTTTTGGACTCCATCGAAGAAAAGTTTTTTGGATGCTTTAATCGGCACTTAACATCCCAAAAAACATATTATATCTGTTACAAATGTGCACACGGTCCCAAATGGGACCCGAGTGTTTCAAACTTATTTCTATCCAATGCTTTGGTAAATAGGTCTGTAAGCTGTTCTTCCATTGAGACATATTCCAAACTTACCATTTTATCATCCACTAACTCACTTATAAAGTGATGCTTGATATCAATGTGTTTATTGCGGGAATTGGGAATGCAACCCAAGATTTTCTGTTATACTTATTGCACTGGTATTGTGACAAAAGAGGGGAATAATGCCATAAATCATTCCACAATCCGCAAAAATCAACTTCATCTATAATAACTGTGCAGAACAACTACAAGTTGCGATAGAGAGGGAAACTAAATTTAGCTTGTACTCATTCATGCAACTAGATTTCATTTTAGCAAAAAATTGTCTCCCTGAGTGCTTTCTCGATCATCAATGTTTCCAACCCAACCTACATCAATGAATGCCATTAAACCGGCTTAACCACCCTTTGAGTACCATAAGACCACAATCTGAGTTCCATTGATGTATTTCATGATTCGTTTGACTGGCTTGAGATGCGACTCTTTTGGCTTGGATTGACACTTCGCACGAACTCCAACACAATAGCATATATCTAGACGATTGGTGGTGAGATATGGGAGACTACCAATAATACCTCTCTAGTGTGTGACATCTACATCCTTTCCCTTGTCATCTCTCTTAGTCTCAAATTTTAGTGTGTGTTAAACAGGATGTTCTTTCAAATTTTTTGAGCTTGTTGTTATCATACTTTTTTGTGAAGACAAAAATTCCATTTCGAGTTTGTTTGATTTGTAGACCCAAAAGGAAAGTGAGTTTGCCCGGCATACTCGTATCAAATTTACTTTCCACGACTTTGATGAATTTATCAACCTTCGCTTGTGACATGAAAATCATGTCTCACTTCTCAACTAACAACCGTTTTTTAAGGATATATATGTGTGTGTGTGTGTGTTTGTGTGTGTATGTGTGTGTGTATATATATATATATATATATATATATATATATGATACGATGTAGATTGGTTGATTTTAGCGTCGCTCAAGAGTTTGAATGCTCTAATAGTATTATGCCTTATGTATCTAATTTTCTCCATCCCCAAGTCTTACCAGACTTCGTATATTTATACGATCTCTTCTATCATAGTTGGTTAATTGTAAAAATCTTCCACTTGATATTCTTGAGGAACCAAGACTCCTAGTCCAATGAATATTGGTATTCTATTTCTTCATGTAAAATACTCCTTCAGCAATCAATCAATATCCTGATCTTTAATGTATGGCACTGCAAACGTACTTCTGTGGTTATTCAAACTTCTTCATATGTATGTGTTCATCATGTACTAGACTTCGTGGATTGTAGTAGAATGGTAAAACATTGTCTTAAGGGGACAGACAAGATTTACAGCTCTCTAATACTAACGTACAGCTATGAACCAATTAAAACAAAGCTATTCATTTGTCCAAAAATACTGCTAACAAAGGTTACAAAAACTAAAGACTACGTAGAAGGAACAACATTTTCCAGACGGATGATGTTGTAAATACGGAGTACTCCCTCCGTCACACTATTTTTGTCTCATCTACTATTCATAGGATGAAACTAAATCTACTTTTTTTACATATTTTCATCTATCATTTGTTTAAAAAATCTATTCATGTCGTCTCTTGTTTTGTAGAACTTTTGATGTAGTTTTTAAATATGTAATTTAAATTTTTAAATTTTACACCAATATTTAGATAAATTCCATCAAAAAAGTTGTAGTAAAATAACAACAACAACAAATAGCGGGACAGAGAGTATTATTTATGGTAGAGGCCAAATGGGAATATTGGACAATTTTTGTAACTTGCAAGACGGATGATGTTGTAAAAATAAATTTAAAAACGAGCCACGTTGGAATAATGGATAGTATTTGTAACTTTTGCAACGAATAAAGTTGTAAAATGTAAATACACAATTAAATTACTTCCTTCTCCCAATAAAAAAATGCACACTTTAATTTCATAGAAATTAAGAAAATTTGTAAAAACTGAAAAATATGTGGTTACATATATTTAGAAAGCATAGAAATATTGCGTGTCACATAATCTTTTTCTAAAAAGAAAAAAAAAGTGAAAGAATTATTTCAAACCATGTGAAAAAGTGAAAAAATCTTTACAAGATGAATTGAATAATTTACTTTTTTCCCTTGACCTTATGACACCGTATCTGTCACAATGTATTTGTCCATATTTTCTTTTGAGACCGTCCCATTGTATAGTGCAAATTATAATTTTTACTATTGTGTCTTCACTTTATTCAGCCCTGCTAGAAAGTTAGGCTAAGTTTTGTAACTTAGTTCCACAACATCCTCTTCCTTGATTTAGTCATGTACCAAAAAAAATTGACAAACTCATCAAGGTTAAGCTAAATTTTAGGGCATGAATAAGTTGTACCTTTGATGCGCTTCTCAGAGTTGATGTCAACTGCAATAATCTTTGATGCACCTCTAGTTCGTGCACCTTCCACTACCTGCCATTGTGTAAATCATGTTTCAATAATGTAGTAATTCGCTTCCTGTTTTCACTTGTCTAAAATTAGTTGTTTGATGTTCATACCGCCAAACCGACAGCTCCCATGCCAAACACCGCAATTGTTTCGCCTGCTTGAACATCGGCAGTGTTCCACACGGCTCCAAGTCCTATCATAATTCAAGTATACGTTTTCACCAAAACTATTTGAAATAATGTAAGTTTTAAGTTTACAACATAGTTTTAAGAAGTAAACCAATCACGGCATGGGTTCACCCATTAAACCTGTGGTTCGAACTGCCAAACAAGTGGTTCAAATAAATTTCTTAAAATCCTATATTCACACATAATTTGTATCACAAAGTTTCAACAATATCAAATTATCAAATGCAGTCCTAAAGTAAAGAAGTTAGTTAATTAGTAATATAGTGTTACATGTAAAACATACACAAACCCACCAAAATATAACACAAAAATGAAAAGCAGTAATCTCTATATTTTGAGAAAAACCATAGTCCATATTCGGTGTCATGTTCCTGGATTTATTAGTAACTAAAAGTAATGTTTGATTATTTGTTGAATGGAGGACTAAAACTGAGTCTATTTCCTTGAATAGTTCTCTACTCGTACAGAAGTATTTGTCCAAATTAAGTTTTTGAAGTTAAACTAGACGAAATTTAATCATAACGACATAAATTACATTGTATATTAATACAATGAAATAAACTTTTGAAACTTTTCTTCAAAATAAATCTAAGAAATCATTCTTCTACTTGCGCATTATCTTTCTTATATTTCCTTATTTGGCAGATAGTTTACACCAGAAAGACTAATTTACCTCTCTTCCCATTCTCCCTTCTCAACCTTCCCCTCGTCTACTTGTAGAAATCAAAGTGGAAGAATGCTTCAAACATCGCTGGTCCAAAAAGGAATGATTTTTCAGGATCAATTACTGATTTAGGGTAATCAGAGTATAGGCTACGGATTAATCCGGAGAAAAACTCATTTAGGGTAATACGAGTATAAGCTATAGAGTAACCCTAATACTCATTTATTCAATGGTAATCGTCGCAAATGTCGCGTTTCTGAGATCTGCCAGACTGCCACCAGAACCCGAACCGGAAAAGCAATACGAGCATAAAAGAATTACTCCCTCACTCCTATATTTATTTGTGTTTTTTCATGGCCTATATGATAAAATAAAATATTCTTGTCACCACTTGTTTTGTTGAACTTTTGGTGTAGTTTTTAAATATGTATGTTTTATTTTTTATTTCTATACCAATATTTAAATAAAATAGATTGAAAAAATTTGGGATTTTTCTTCGTTTTGCGAACTAGGAAGATCATTATAGGACGGAAGGAGTACATATTTATTTTATAAAAAATGATAAAGCAATTAAAGTACATAATTAAATTAACATAATTATAAAATGAAAAAGGGAGAAAGACCAAGCTAGAACTAAAACACTAAAAATATAACAAAATAAGACTTCCATTTTTATTCCCGAAATAGGACTTACATTACTAAATATGGTCATGTACATTACCAAATAAGTATAGTAATATGCACATGTACAGTGTCACATTACCACATTGCAAAGTTCTATTTCAGGAAAAAAAAACATTAAAGTCATATTTTGATATTTTTCTCAATGTTTTAGTCGTATTTATGGTGATTTCTAAATGAAAGAACTAAAATTTCAGAGTAAAAAAACAAAAGAAAAAATGAATGAAAGAAAGAGGAAGGTAAAATTAAAGTGGTGAAGAAATGATTATATTTAATGAATTACATATTTTTTTTAAATAGTTTATACTATTCTTTTTTAATCTCTTTTTAATTTCATTTATATCAGTATATTTGTCCTAAATTGTGCCGAGTAGTAACTCAATCTTACTTCTTTACTTTTTATTATCAATATCAATCATATAATTTTTTGTTTCTTGATTTCTATGTCACTAATCCATGTAAGGAAAATTAGAGGGCGGATGAAGTAATACATACCTTTTATAAATCTTAATTGAAATAAAAATAGACATAAATAATCTAACGACGTCTCGACCAAACAAAACTAGTTCTTCATCGCATTTTATATATCAAAATAATAACAAAAATGATATAGGACTAATGATGTTAATATTGCATTATAAATAAATTGTAGAGTTCTTATTGTTTTTTAGTTTTTCTTTACTTTTGCAAAACAATGATTTAGATGAAAAACACTTGATATTTTTATGAATAGAAATTAAGTCAATATATTATTAAAAAGTATCTCAAATAACGGTGAAAGACAATCATTACGACAACAGGGCGCCCCAAGGATTTGGTAGCCCTTGACGAGACTAGAAAAATAGGTCTTGGCCCTAATAGATTAACTTATATACATTATTTTCTATTATTCACTCTTTCTTTTATTGTTCGTAACAAATATATTTTTAATTTGTGTCATATCTTTTTCTTATTTGACGTTTCATGGTTTAAAATATATATTTTAATCATTAATATATTTATTTATATATAAACATATAGACAAATAGACATTTTTAATAAATAATGACATTACATGAATTTTTTCTAGTCTACCAATATAAATAATAATAATAATAATAATAATAATAATAATAATAATAAAAATAAAAACAACAACAGCAACAGCAACAACAACAGCAGCAACAACAACAACAACAACAACAACAACAATAATAATAATAATAATAAC